TGAGAGGCCAAAGTAGTAGAAATTAGAAGCAAAATGAAAATAGCTTATGGTATTGATGCTGTAGTGAGATATCTGTGGAACATTAATGACTGCAGTAAGTTGCAGACTTCTTGCTAAGTACAAAGGGAGCTAGTATTAAAGAGGAAAAGATGAATATATTGAAACTGTACTCAGATGTTGGATTAGTTTGTCTACTTTGGCTTAATACCTTCATTTCTGTGTAACACTCTGCCAGTAACTTCTGTGATTTTATGTGGTATAGAGGCTGTGGAACTAAACATATGTATTTATATGGAAAAGCTGTTCTTAAAAAGATATTTTGAAAATAAATAGCATATAAACTATCTCAGACCTGCGTCATATTTCTTGAAGGTTCTGAATGGTCATTATTTTGTTACACTTTTATGTGCACGTATGTATTCCTTACTTAAAGTAATAATCTATAAATTCCGTGACTACTTCCTGCTTGATAACTACTAGTGGCTAGTATTCTTTAGTACTTACTGTAGGTAAGTACTGAATCATTATATGCTTTATTAAATGTATTTTTGCATTTAAGTGCTATAGTTCTTATGAGATTAGTACCATCTTCAATTTAGAGAAGAATGAGGCACAGCATTTAAGTAATTTACCCAGTCTATTAAGTGATGGAGCTGGGATTTGAACCAGATATTCTTACTCCAAAGTTTGTGCCTTTACCTTCTGCTGTACTGCTGCCTTATTAACTTGTGCGGAATGGGAAGTTAAAACTATTTCTCGGATACAAATTTTAATTTGTATAAATACCTGTTCCTTACCCTTTCTTGTACATTTTGTTTTTAAGATTCTTGGATCTCCCAGTCAGCTTCATTTCCCCGTAATCAGAAACAACCTGGAGTGGATTCTTTATCACCAGTGGCCTCACTTCCTAAGCAGATTTTCCAGCCTTCTGCCCAACAGCAACCCACTAAACCAGTTAAAGTCACTTGTGCAAACTGCAAAAAACCTTTGCAGAAGGGACAAACAGCTTATCAACGAAAAGGATCTGCTCACCTGTTTTGTTCTACCACCTGCCTTTCTTCCTTCTCTCACAAGCCTGCTCCAAAGAAACTCTGTGTTATGTGTAAAAAGTAAGGTTTATCTTCCATATGGTTAAATACTGGTATAAAGTTTTTTAAAAAATTGTTAGTATCAGTCTTAAAAGTGAGCTATATTTTAAAAAATTTTAAGATTTTTTTTTAGTATTGAAGCCAACCCAAATTTTTAATGGTTTTGGAGTTTCTTCATCAAGCACATGTGACTTATGAATAGATGGTTTAGTATTTAGACAGGTTTTGGGATTGATCGATATAAAACCCCAAAAAACGATATCCATTGCCCTTGGATCGAATTCCAACTCTCAGTGACCCTATAGGACAGAGTAGAACTGCCCCATAGGGTTTCCAAGGAGCAATGGGTGGATTTGAACTAGTGACCTTTTGGTTAGCAGCCAAACGCTTAACTACTTGCATCATCAGTTCCTCTTACAAATAATTACTTCTGTAATCTCCATTGGACTGCTTGAATTTGTAAAAATACGTGCTTATTTGCATTATTAATTATAAGAATTTATTTTATGTGTGACTAATTCAGTATTGGAGCCCTGGTGGCATAGTGGTTAAAGAGCTCAGCTGCTAACCAAAAGGTCGGCAGTTCGAATCCACCAGCTGCTCCTTGGAAACCCTTTGGGGCAGTTCTCCTCTGTCGTATAGGGTTGCTATGAGTCAGTTGACTCGAAGGCAGCAGATTTTAATTCTGTATTAAAATAGGTTAAATTTTGCACAGCTTGGAATCAGTATAATTTAAAATTGACAAGTCTTTGGATTTTATGCGTGTTTTTTTAATGTTTGTTACCAAGTCATTAGAATACTCATTATTAGAAGACTCTGATACCAGTTTTTCCAGCTTTGGAGAGATAGGATCCTCTCTTCTGCCATTTTTAGTTATGGCTTCACTGGTTTTAAAAGTAGCAGGAATATGGTATATTATATCCAAGGTTAAACCAGGTGGACTTTCTGTACCATCTTTTGGAGCAGCCCAATTCTGTGAAGCTATTTTTAGATCTTAGAACTCTGGAAAGGGCTCAGTGCTGTGTACGTGTTTAATAAATTCAATATTGTACATATTTAATTCAAATACTGAGAATTGTTACACAATTTTTGGATTGCTTTATAATCCAGATTTGCATACTGAATATAGAATCCTGAAACTTCAAATTAAAGGAAAACCTCAAAGGTCATTAATACTGTTGTTTGGTAACATTTCTAATTGCTATTAAAAAGCTGTGCAGAATGGTGGGCAGTGTTATTTGGGGAGAGTGGGAGTTCTATTTAAGTTTAATAATCCTTTCTGGAATGAATGTGTGTTATATTCTAGTGACCTGGATAACTCAGTATGCTACTTAAATATAAATTTACACTCAATAAATTAGTCCTTAACATTAACTAAATATAATTAATAACAGCTTTTTTTTTTTTTGAGTGTTCCTAAAATCTGAAAGGTGTATTATTTAGTTTGAAGATAAATTGAGTCATGGTAAGGGTTTAATATTATAAAATATATTTGCTTCTCAATCTTCTGCTTTCATATTTTATTGCCAAGAGTTTCTAAATGGTGATAGTGATTTATTAGATACAAAAATGGTGTCAGATTTAAATCTGTGGGCAAATGAAAAATGTCAGTTAGTATAATACTCTTGATATTTTATTTCTTTTACAATAGTTTTAACTTCATGTTGTACCTCTTATTTTTCAGAGATATAACTACAATGAAAGGAACCATTGTTGCTCAGGTGGATTCAAGTGAGTCCTTCCAGGAATTTTGTAGTACATCTTGTTTGTCACTCTATGAAGACAAACAGAATCCTACTAAAGGAGTTCTAAATAAATCAAGATGTACAATCTGTGGTAAACTAACAGAGGTTTGTATTTTGTACTTTATCATTTAGTTCTAATAGGAATATTTAAAACTTTATTTAATAGCTATTATATACTCTTTCATCAATACATGTTTCCTTAAAAATGAGAATATTTGAAAACTATCTTAGAAATTACCATTTTGTAGTCTCACTTTCCCATAGGTAGAAAGATTTAGGAGAAGTTAAAATATAATGTTGATTGCCTCTTTTTTCCTCAGGTTCGAAGTACTCACAGAAACACTATAGTATTTTGGTTGATTTTTGTCTGCTAATTAATACTTATTTTTTAAATGAAGGTGACTACACAAGAAAGACAGTTAATAACCTTTCTGAGAAATAAAACAAGTGGAGGGAATATTTCTTGATAATTTCACATTGTATGGTTTGAGGTCTGCATTTGAATAAAAAGAAAAAAATCTATGTATGCCTACCCTAGTCTGAGTATTTGTAATATTGGCTCTATCTCCTCCCTTTTTTAGGGCAGTATACTTTATTTACAGTTCCTTTTGGATTTGTCTAGGAGAAGATTTTCAGTCTGTTTGTTTATGCAGATCAATATAAAAGCTAACCAAACCGGGTTATTTTCTGGTAGTTTTAGATACCTCTAGAGAAGTTTGTCTTGATGTCCTTGCTGGGATTTTTTTTCCCCCTTGGTCCTCTTTAACTGCCTTGTGTTCTTTGTGTGTATAAAAGCAGTTCAAAGAATAATGACATGTGCTTTATCTCCTTGGAAACATGCTTTCCACAGAAAAATTATTGGGGCATCGTTGTTTCTGTTGGAGGAACTAGTTATTTAGCTACTTGTCATACTGATTTTTTTTTTATTGCTTTTCTTTTAGATTCGCCATGAAGTTAGCTTTAAAAATATGACTCACAAGCTGTGCAGTGACCACTGCTTTAATAGATATAGAATGGCAAATGGTTTAATAATGAATTGCTGTGAACAGTGTGGAGAGTACTTACCAAGCAAAGGTGCTGGAAATAATGTTCTTGTGATTGATGGTCAGCAGAAAAGATTTTGCTGTCAAAGTTGTGTCAGTGAATATAAACAGGTAATTCATGTTCTGATTAAAATGTTCTTATTCTTTTGAAAGTGCTTTAATAGTTTTACTCTAACAGCATTTATTATCCAGATTTATAATGGAATGTCATTTAATTCCATCGTTGTCTTCATATTATGGACATGACTGAGCACAAAAGAATACTGAAATATATATAGATTATTGGAAATAAACTTGTGATTTTACAGATAAAGATAAATACTGGCAGACTGATTTCTCTTGAATTTTTTTTTTTAGTAGAGTGTAGAGAGGTGCAACTAGGATTTTTCAAACGGTTAAAGCTTAGCTTGGCAATTATTATCTTATATTTGAATTTTAATGTTAATTTCAATTTTAAGGCTATTTCTTTTAGATTTGGCTATATTTTTGAATTTATATACGTGGTTGAAATGTAAAATGCACATAAAAATATACTCAGAAAAGACCAGCTCCCATTTCTATCCTTCACTTTTGGTTCATTCCCATCTTTTATAGATAGTAATTTTCCTTGTTAATGTTTGTTTCCTGTTTGTTTCTGAAAAACAAAAATAAGGAAATTCATAATTCATTCTTATTTTCCTTTTTTTTGTACAAAAAGTAGCATAATATGTATACTGGCCTGCTTGTTCCTTTTTTTTTACTTCACAGTATATTCTGGAAATTAGTCCCTATCAGTATGTTGAGATCGTCTTCATCCTTTTTTTATGGTTGCGTAGTTAAATTTTCAGTAATTTTGTGAACTGAGTGTTAAACACAACCATTAGTAAAAGTTAAATTATAAAAACTTAGAATTAAATAAATTACATTTAAAACAAAGATAATAAATGCTCAAAACTCATCACTTCTGAACTGTTTTACTACACTTTAATATTATCTGTGGGCTCTTAGTGTTATTTATGTCTATTATATTTGTACGAGGGAAATACTATATAAATAATGGTGTGCTTCTGTGTATCTCTTCCCAGTTTTGTGTTTAGTGCTATTTTGTTAGTCTGAAATTAGCCATGGTGGAAGTGTTTCTGCAGCAAATGATACAAATCAGGCTCTTCCCCCAGCGCTAGTGGTTAAACACATCCCAGACACCACTGTGCTGTACTACAGTTTATTCAGTCAGTCTGCTGTTGATGGCATTTGGGTTATTTCTAGTCTTTTGCTATTACAGTTAATGGATGATGAATAACCTGGCATATAGTTTACTCTGTATTTGTGGAAGTATGTTTTCAGGGTAGATGCTTAGAAGTAGGATTGCTTGACCAAAGGTAAATGAATATGTTATTTTGTTAGGTATGGTCAACTTCCCCTCGATAATTGTAATTCTGCCATTTTGCATTCACTTCAGTATCTGTTTCTCCACAGCTTCGCAAACAGAATATTAACAAACTGATCTGATTGCTGAAAATGGTATCTCTGTAGTTTTAGTTGGTATTAGGAATGATGATGAAGAGTTTATCATATTTTGGAGCTTTTTGTCCATGTCGTTCCTTTTCTGTGAACTTTTTATTCGTGTCTTTACTCATTTTTGTATTGGGGCTTTTATCATCTTGTATTTTTTCCTAATAATTGAACATTTTAATGTTCAAAATTAATCTTTAATTTGTTCCTGCAGTAATAATTTATCTGGCAAATATTATGTTGGTCAAGTTAGGTTGTACTGGGTTCTAGGAATAATAGCGGGAAGTAAAAGAGACATAGTCCCTGCCTTCTTAGGGTTTACGTTGTGGTGGTGTACTTCAAGTTCTTACAGATACGGGTGATGGAAAGGATCAGACTAATTATAATCTCTAAGACTCACCATACTCTTTGTTGTTGGTGGCGATGTTGCATTTATTATCTTCTGATACCTGGAGAGTTTGTTGAGCGTGCTGGCTTTAGTTAGTTTGCCTGGGCTAAAATTCTGGCGCTACGAATTAGTATTACTTATGTGCCTTGGGCAAATTACTTAACCTCCCCCTGTCTTCATCAGCTGTAAAGTTGGTGAAATAGTAATACCTATCTCTTAGTGTTATAATAAAGATTAAATCTGTGTCTTTCGTCTTGATTTTTAAGAACCTAGTTCAAGAAACTGAACATTACTAGTTCTACATCAAACCTGTTGTACTCTCTTCCAGTCACTGTCCCCTTTCACCTACCCAGAGGTCGCCACCGTCTTTGACTTCTAACATCATAGTTTGAGTTGTTTATAAACTTTATGTAAATGGAATTAATATGTAATGTATGAATATGGCTACTTTGTCTAAGCACTGTGTTTGTGAGATTCATCCATAGCTGTGTTACAGCTATGGAGGAATATGGTGTTTTATTGTTATTATTGTAGTAATACATCCATATGTAACAAAACATTTGCCAAGTCAACATTTTTTACATGCACAATTCATGGCATTGGTTTCATTCATCATGTTGTGCAACCATCACCACTATTACATTTTCAGATTATTCCACCACTATTAACAGAAACTCAGCATCCTCTTAAGCTAAGACTCTCCCTTCCCCCCTCCCTCTGTATGGTACTATTTTTGTCATGTAAAAATTTTAATTTTAATGTATTCATACTTAAACCTGTTTTTTTAAAAATTATTTTTTGCTTTTGATTTTGTATCATACACTGTTATTAAGAAACACTTTTCAAGTTTTCTTCTACTGTCTATAAAGTTTTAATTTATCATTCAGATCTCTAATCTGTTTGGAATTTTTTCTAACATATAGTTTAGGTATGAATCAAATTTTGTTTGCTCCCAAATAACTATCTTTTTTTTAATTCATTAATTAAAATTACTTTTACCCTTTTGTCCAGTGATTTTAAATACTTGCTACCTAACTGAATTATCATTCTTGGTTGATATTCTACAACATCCATTATCACCTGCAAAATACCATCTGCAAATTGATCTTCCTTTTCAGTTCTCTTTATTGTTTTTCCTGCCCAGTGGTGTTTCCTGATAACTCTAATACAATTTTAAACGGTGGAGATGGCAGGTACCTTCTTATTCCAATGGCAATACCTTCAGTGCTTCCTCATTTAAATTAGATGCTGGATTTAGGGTTGAGATATAAACATATTTTATCATGCTAAAGAAGTATCCATTGATTTTATCAGAAATGAGTATTGAGTCTTGTTGAAGGTCTTTTCAGTGTCTATAGTGGTGATTGTATGATTTTTTTTTTCCCTCATAGATATATTAATATGTGAATTATATAAATGGACTTCCTAATATTGAACCAGGAATTATATTAATGGATTTCCTAATATTGAACCATCCTTCCATTACTGGAATACAGCATATCTGGTCACTATTAGGAAACTGTGGTGGCATAGTGGTTAAGAGCTACGGCTGCTAACCAAAAGGTTGGCAGTTCGAATCCACTAGGCACTCCTTGGAAACCCTATGGTGCAGTTCTACTCTGTCCTGTAGGGTCGCTATGAGTTGAAATTGACTCGACGGAAATGGGTTTGGTTTGGTTTGGTCATTACTATATTTAAAATGGGTGTGTTCTGATTGCTGGAGGTTATAGGGTGGCACAAATGGTTTGTGCTCAGCTCCTAACAGAAGGGTTGGTGGTTTGATTCTACCCAGTGGCACATGGAAGAAAGTCATGGTGATCTGCTTCCATAAGATTACAGCCATTGAAAACTATAGGCACAGTTCTCTTCTGATAATACATGGGGTTGCCATGAGTCAGAATTGACTCGATGGCACTGGGATTGGTTTTTGGTTCTGATTGCTAGTGTTTTATTTAGTGTCTTTCTATTGATATGAATAAATGAGATTCATCCATAATTTCCTTACCTCCCCTCGGGTATAGTCTTTAAGGTATCAGTTTTATATTTGCTTTATAAAAATGCTCAGAAAAATCTATGTACTTAAATAATATGATAAAATTGAAAAATTAATTAAACTAAAAAAATTGGGGAAACAAAGTAAAAGAAAAGAGAAGAAAAGCAATAATAATGATAAAAGTAGAAATGAATTAGGAACCAGACATATTAAAAATGAAAAATTCTGCTTCTTTGCACAATCAGGTTTTTTTAAAAAACTAGATAATCCAGTAGCTAATCCAGTCAGGAGAAGAGGTTAAAAAAAAACATCTACAAATACACAAAATAAATGACAAGGTAGATTTAAGCATCAAATAGAGAAAACTGAATAAAATCCTTCATAAGGGGCTGCCTTGTACAACCATATATACAAATTTTGAAAACTTAGATTAAGTGACTAATTTTCTGTGAAAATACAATTTACCTAAATTAACTCTAGAAGAGATACATTTTAAGCAGACCAATTTTCATGGAAATAAGAGGTAGTCATCAAAGAAACCTAACCAGACAGGTTGTCTTTGAGTCCATTCTGACTCATAGGACCCACTAGTACAGAGTAGAACTGCCCCATAGGGTTTCCAAGGCTGTAATCTTTCTGCCATGTCTTTCTCCTGAGGAGGAGCTGGTGAATTCAAAACTGCCAACCTTTTGGTTAGCAGCTGAGCACGTAACCATTGTGCCACAAGTGCTCCTAACTTACCAAAGAACTACCCCCACAAAAAGAACCAGGCTCAGATGATTTCAGAGGGCAATTCCATGAAACACAGACCAGATAGTTCCAATGTTGTTTAAACTGTTCCAGAGCATAAAAAGGAGAAAATAACTTCTAAGTTATTGATGAGAGTAATGTATTTTCAAAGTAAAAAATTCAGTTTTTAAATTATTAATCCATTGATTTTACCTTCCCCCCCATGAATTGTGGGAAATTTGTCATTCCTCCCTCCATTTTGTGGGAAGAGGAAATAGTAGTTAGTTTTGTTTTCTTAATTGTAAAATATACATAGAATAAAATTTGCCATTTTAACCATTTTTAAGTGTACAATTCAAGGACATTAACTAAATTTACTGTATGCCTTAAATTTTTTTTACTGTAGTAGAAGTCTGTATAACAAAATTTGCCATTTTAGTCACTTTTAAGTGTACACTTCAGTGGCATTAATTATATTCATAATGCTCTGCAACCATCACCATTATTTAT